TATGTTTTGTTGCATAAAAAAAGAAAGATAAAAATGTATCAGAAAGAAAAAGCCGAGATTATTACGATAAACCTGCAAGTTCTAGCATGATCCAGAACTTGACAATTTTTATAAAAGTTATGGCTTTATTTATTATAAGACTTTTTTTCCGTCTCAATCTGCAGTTCGTGAATTGAGTATTTATTTTTTATTTTATAGCTTTATTCTGTCAGAATATAAGCGGAAGAATATTCCACTATAGTATTCTAAACTAAAACTATCGAAAAACACAAAATCAGTTTTTGTACGAATAGGGATTCGAACATGTGAACTTAACTTTGTAGTAAACTACAAAACTAAATTCACCGTTCAATTCACCGTGAATTGAGTAAAAGGCAAATATCACATGGAATCGAAGTAAACGAACTCGTCAGATTTTAAAGAATCGTTTCTTCTAATTCAAAAAGCAAAGGGTTGATCTTCAGTTTCACTAAGCTCATCCTCCATGATTTTACTTCATCATAAGGAAGTGATGTCGTGCAATTATTAGAAAGTATAAGAGATGGCATGAGTCATGACGAAATATATGCAGGTTTATCGTAATAATCTCGGCTTTTTCTTTCTGATACATTTTTATCTTTCTTTTTTTATGCAACAAAACATAATCGAACAAGGAAATAGAGAATAAGCACTACACATTGGGAACTTTTGAAAATAATTAGAAATTAATGTGAACTAATTTAAAAAAGTCTCATATTAAATTAGTGCGCATGAGTTTTTTTCTGATTAAAAATCAATCCAAATTCATTTAAGTTGATAAACTAATTCGAACTGGTTAAAATTTAATTAATTTGAATTAATTTATCAACTTAAATGAATTTGAATTGATTTTTAATCGGAAAAAAATTCATACACACTAATTTAATATGCGACTTTTTTAAATTAGTTCACATTAATTTCTAAAAGTTCCAGTGAGTATCCACAAAAAATCTATCTCCGTAACTGCTCGGCGAATCTTGATGCTTTTCGGGTCTTACGGGAGTTTCAGGCTATGCTCTTTCGGATAGCAATCTCAAAAACATTTTAGAATTTCAAGAAGTAGGAGTTCCAGAAAATTGTTGTTTTCTAGATATGGGTTTTAAGAAAAAATTCTATTCCAGTAATAGTCTTTAGTGAAACATTTTTGAAATAAGTGTATTTTGTAGAGAAACGTTTAGACTACATTTTAAAAGAAGAAATTTTAGAGGAACCTGGCTCCACTGAGAATCACAAAATATATGGATATCTTAAAAATATAGTATACACATAAAACATATAATAAATTATAGACAAAAAGATAAAAAAATAAATTTCTATAGCATATAGACACATAGAAACCAAGATTTTGGCCCACTGTCAATCAGGAATAGTTAGCTGTTTACACGCGTTTAGAATTAAAAGATGATGCAGTAAAATGTATTTCTCTCATATGCTTTTCTCAAATTCAACGCGTTTAACCGGTCATCTCAGACCGGTGGATGTATTTGAACGTCTTTCACATACGATTTTCAATCAAATCGACGCGTTTAGGCGCATTCCCTACAATTTCCAACAACTAAATGCATTTAAACGAATTAAATCACTTTTCGTTTACAATGCATTTAAACGTTTTTCATCAAAAATGCGTTAAAACGCTCTCTCTGTACATGAAAACCGGTTAAAACTCGTGAAAAAATTAATTAAATCCGTTTAAACGTTGCCTGTTTACCACTGTAATATGTTTAAACTGTCTCGTTTTAAGTTCTTTTACCTTAAAAATGCGTTGTAACGCATCGATTTTTTCGTTTCCACGCGTTTAAACCTTTCGTTTCATTGTCAAAAACGTCTTTAAACGCATTTTTTTTTCGGAAAAACCATTTAAAACTGCCTACGACTCGTTGAGAAAACGCGAAAAACACGCGTCAAAAATCACGATTTTAAATGCAAAACTCGTAAAAATGCACCGAAAAACTCCATTCTCGAAAGGCACAACGGCCATAACGCGTCCGACAGTTTAACAAATTTCCTGCTATGTATAAGGGTGATTAAAACAGTGGCTCGGAGTTCTTTAAGAAACTGACGGACAACTCTACGCTGGGGCATAGTTTAGCATTTTAGCATTATTTACAATTGAATGTACGAATGGAAACCAAATTAAACAACATTCATATTTCAAGGCAGAAAATAAAATTCTGCTTCCTCCAGCAAACTAAGCTCATCAAAAGATTTACACCTAATACAACTGAATGAGATACAACTAAACTTTCCCATGTTAGAACCATCATTCATTTCATATGATGCAATTTTGAACAGCATATGGGAAAAAGCCGGTTTTCCCCTGCAGTGTCTGATAGAAAGACTGCTCAGGAAGCAACGGAAGTCTTGCCCTGTTACTTTTAAGAAATAGATCTGGCTAGGAACACGTGACGAAATAATTAAATTGAATCAGTTTCGATTGTTATAGATCCTCTTGCTATACTACACTCAGCGCTGCATTGAAGGTCACGTGTGAATTATCTCATTGTATAAAACCAATCTCAATAAAATATGTCATTTTCGGGATTGATTGTGGGATAATTAAAACAGTTATCGAGAAGAGTTTCAGATATGTCAACTACAGTGTCGGGAGATTTCTCACCCGTCTATCCCTCATTTCTAGAATTTAGGATAACTGAGGACGAATGACACACGTGTGAATATGAGAGATCAAACGTGTAGGAATTTTCTGCATAACCGGCTAAGTGAAAACGAATAAGCCTTACTGTGTTTCACTGAGACGACTTAACAATGAAGCTCATTCGTAACCAACAGTTTTGTTATCAGTATGTCTTGAATACACTAAAATATAAGCATGCTTTGTTATTTGTGGAGAAATTGTTCGAACATGAATATCATCATAGTAGGTAGTACCATTGTTTGTTAACAAAATGTTTAGCTTCTGTTGTATAGTAACCTCCATCTACAGTTCCCGTATGATTGCATACAGCAATGAGATCATATAGTCCTTTATGTTTATCAGATATAATAGAATCACTTAAGTCAAAATTTTCATTCAATGTGGTATTCAATGTGTGTATTGATTTTATGACCGAAGTCGAAACGTTTCAACTGAAATATGAGTATTGGTGGAAGCCGAGTGATCGTAACTGTTTTTAGTGCATTTTTCAATTTTGGTCACAGTGACTACACAAATATTGAGCGGCTGCTTGTTCAGCCAAAAATTTTCGTAGACAACTTCGTACACTGCTTCCAGATACTGGGAGTGATAGAAATAGAAATGTGCTTTTATCTACTTCTGGAGTTTTACATTTTGAACATGAAACAACAGTTTCAATTTCACCGCGAAATAACGTTGATACAATTGAAATATCTTGTGAATTTTTTAAATCATCGTGTAGTGTTCAACATGATTTCAGCTGAATCTTTTGGACTGTAGTAGCAAATCGAGGAGCATATCGAGATATTTGTACTTGCAATGATTTTAGACAGCGCTGATTATATTGACCAAACCATAATTCACACAAGAGAGATGCGTAGGTCTGAGAAAGGTCCGACTCATAACGTTTGCTAATAAAATATTTGGTTAATAATTCAATATTACTTAAACAGTGTACTGCGCGGTTGAGGAACATATATTTCCGAGATTTTTCAAACCACATATTCCTGATGTCATCTCAAACTTATACTCAGCCGTCATAGTTTTCTTTGTGATTCCATATGCTGAAATAAGCCCAAAAACATGTAAAAACAAGTAAAACCCCTCCCATAATAGAAGCCTCTCCCCTATTAGAAGCCCTCTTATTTGAAAAAAATTTTGGAATTTCTGGAAGTTTTATTAGTATTTCTAAAGTAAGTAAAAAAGTTCTTCCTTCTCTGCCTATATATATATATATATATATATATGTTGCGAACAAACTTCTAATTTGGTCAAATTTTAAATATGTCCGGACAAAATTCAAATTCAAATTTAAAGTTTGAACAGAGTTCATTCAGTCAGAATCGAAATAAAAACATAATGCCGTGATAATTCAAAATTTATATTTTCTTATGATTATTTCCGTGACGTTAGTCAGGATCATATAAAGAAAAATGTATATTTGCCCATTTTTCATCAAGAGAGCATTGCATGCATCAATCATAAAGTTCGATTTGAAGATTTTGTTGTTCGTCTCATACAATTTTACAGAATGTCTTAAAACTTTCGCATTGCGATATAAAGTTCTTGTTACGAAGATTTTTCCGTGTTACAATTTTGTAAGGAAGCACGATTAACTCTGAAATTTTGATCTAGCATGTCTGTCCAGATGCTTTTGCAAAAATTGGTGTTCAGAGAAGAGTTTGAAAAAAACATGTTCGTAGAGCCACGTGGCCCAGTCTTAGTAACTGAACAGCGACAACGAGATATCTCTGTTTAAATATTATTCATAGAAGAGGTTTTCGTACAATATTTTGAAATGGATTCTAGGTTGTAGAAAAAAAGAATGTCCAGCGAAATTAGTTATCTACCTGAGAATGACACGTTGCAATAAACCTTCAAACTTATCTTTTTCTTCTGATCATTCTTTCAGAGCACAGGTAAAATTTCTCTCAATTTTAAATTTTTGTTAATATTAAACGTGCTCAGTGACTTTAAATGGCGTCAAAGTATCAAGAAGATAGTGCTACAATAAAAGGTAGTCTACGATATTTTGATGTTCAAAATGAGCCACATAAAATGTTGTTGCCCATCGAAGGCTACGAATACCTTCCACTGATGCCACTTGAAGAGACAGTGAAATCCCTTGAACAACTCATCCCTAACATTCAACGAAAAGTTTATATAGCCCAACAAAATAGTGAAGAACCACGAGACAATCTGACCGTTAATGAATCAGCGGCCATTCAACTCTATACAATGGAATGGGAACCATATTCTCAATGCCTCTATTTTGTCTTGAACTCGGCATTACGCTCGGAAAATCGACAACAGTTGAAACCATTCTTCGCTTACTTGAAACTTCTTTTAACGGCACTATTCAAACTACCATCGGAGAAACGGAGGGTTTATCGTGGTACTAACCTGGATTTATCTGCACAATATGCGAAAGGCACGACGGTGACGTGGTGGGGTCTTACTTCATGTACAGAGTATCGTGATAATCTCGAGTCTCCGCAATTTCTTGATAAGCGCGGCATACGTACATTATTTATTATTGAATGTGAAAATGGCAAAATGATTCGTCATCACTCGTTCTCAGCTAATGAAAATGAAATTCTTCTTTCTCCAGGCACACAATTCACGGTTGTTGATAACTACGTTGAGAGATTAAACACGCACATTATTCATCTTCGCGAAGTTACCCGACCATTTCGTCCGTTACAATCACCATTTGTTTCATCAAGCGATAGTCCCACAATATCAGTGAAAGAGAAAAACGAAATGGACATTTGCAAACCATCCCACCCATCAATTTCTAGTAAGTCCTTGATATTAGACGTCACCACAGTTATACCTTCCCAGTATCGAAACAAGTGGCTGGAGGACGAAATTAATAAGCGTCGAACTGACGAGATTATACTCTTGTCAGAGAAGCGGTTGGCAGATCAAGATGTTGAAATGATCGCTGAAAAATTACAAAAGAACACAAAATGGCGTCAACTGTGGTTACATAGCAATCAAATAATGTGGTTGGGAGGAAAATATTTGAGTGAGGCGTTAACAATGAATTCAACATTAGAACAACTTTGGCTTGGTGATAACAGTATACGAGATCGAGGTGTAAAATGGATAGCTATGGCACTAAAAACGAATAAAAAACTAAAAGTGATTGCCCTCAATCATAATGGAATTGGCGATGATGGCTGCCGAGAACTGAGTGAAATGTTAAAAGTAAACCAAACATTAGAACAACTAATACTTAGTATGAATAAAATAACGGATAAAGGAGCAAAATTCATCGCAGATGCATTAGCTGCTAATACTACACTAACACATTTGTATCTTAACAACAATCAAATAACTAACAGTAGCATTGATATTCTGTGTGAAGCATTGAAAAGAAATCGAGTTTTAATTGAATTAGATCTTTCTGGGAATACTAGAATATCGGAAAGCGCTAAAGATAAACTCGAACAATTATTAAAACCGCTTAAGGATTGTCAAAAGAGCAACGGTGAGTACTGTGTTTTATCGTAAATCGTAGTATCCTCTAATAATTGTACAGTTCTCTGTCTGTTGGCAAATGAGACAGATAGGAATTAACTGCTAAGCGAATCTCTCGTCACTGTACCCAATTTTCGCAGATTTCTAAAATGTTTAAGAATGCTTCTAAGTTGTTGGCAGCTCTCTAAATTTTCCATCATTATTTCTAATTATACTTTTCTCATTTGTTTATTTGTTGATTAATACATTTCTTTTTGTTTATTCCTTATCTATATGTTAGCGTCCAAACTCCGATCCAGGCCAATCTCAGGTTGGTCTAGGCGGAACTTCAATCCGAGTCTGAACTAGTCCAAGCTTCAATCTTAGTTTGGCCTATTAGTTTAACATTCCAAACCCAAATGGGACTTTCGACTGGGTTAACGTTGAAGGCAGGATAAATTCTTAGTCTAATGCCAGATTAATCTAGGCCAAACTAAGACTGAGAATTTTCTAAGGGTAAACTTAGATTGGACTAGGCCAAAACAGCACTGTAAAAAATAAAGTGTGTAAATGACATACATAACGTGAACCCCAAGTCGATTCCCAGTGACCATCTAGAATGCACGGTGTAGGTGTGTAAAGTACACACTGAGAAGTGAATTGATATTAACATCTGTTTTGGTTTAGTTCAATCTAAGTTTAGTCTTAGAAAATTCTCAGTCTTACGACAGAACCTCTTGAGGTTATAAAGCGCTTTTGAACTCAGACTACTTTTATCTTGTAGATCTCAGTGATTAGTGAAATACCCTAAGTTGGTCTGGGCCCATCATGCTTTGTTGCCGAGATACTGGCTTTTTAGTCAGTTTTTGCCTATGAAGCTTGGATTTCGAAAAAAATCCGACTTTCAAATTTTGATTTCAAACTTGCCACACTTGTAGCAGAGATGCAACCGGACCGGGCGACCGGGCGCCGGTTGCCGGTCCGGTCCGGTCGAGACTTATCAACCGGCCGGTTCAACTGGTTCCGGTCAAACTGCAGGACCGGGACTGGTCAGCTTGGCTTATGTGATAGAATATGACAGAAAGAAGCATATTTAGTATTATTTTGTACTGCTCAAAGAAAGGATAATAATTGCATTCATTATTC